GTGTGTGTGTGTGTGTGTGTGTGTGTGTGTGTGTGTGTGTGTGTGTGTGTGTGTGTGTGTGTGTGTGTGTGTGTGTGTGTGCGTGTGTTCACCTAGTTGTGCTTGCGGGGGTTGAGTTCTCCTCTTTCGGCCTTCCTCTCAACTTTTACTACTACTATTTTTTTTTCTCCACACACACACACCCCAGGAAGCAGCCCGTGACAGCTGACTAACTCCCAGGTACCTATTTTACTGCTAGGTAACAGGGGCATAGGGTGAAAGAAACTCTGCGCATCGTTTCTCGCCGGCGCCCGGGATCGAACCCAGGACCACAGGATCACGTGTCCAGCGTGCTGTCCGCTCGGCCACCGGCTCCCCGGGTACCTATTTACTGCTAGGTGAATTAGATGAAAGGAAAGTTGTTCCTAGGTAGGGGATCAAGACTGGTATTCACCAAGCATTGAGGGGTGACAAGTTACGAAGCCACTGCATCTTCTGCCATCCATGGGTGGGTGGGGGGGGAGATGTGTTTACATATTGAATTGTTTACAAGCTTGGGGTCAACGTTACTATTGTAAACAACCTCGTAGAGCTTGTAAATTGTTTAATACATGTAAACAAGGGCAGCCATGATTGAGGAAAGATTCACAGGTTTCGTAAAAGGATTCGTATAAACCAGTCTTGTCTCAGACGAAAATAAACCCACATCTTAAAGGACTTAAACCCCGTTATACTAAACCAACAGTGAAAAACTTCATGACTAAACCCGTCCTCCTTAACACGTGATCGTTCAGGTGTGTATCAGGCCACTACAGGTGTGTATAGTGACGGGTGGTAGTCACAGGTGTGGCGAAGGGTGTGTGTGTGTGTGTGTGGGAGTGAGGGGGAGGGTGTGTATCTCAAGTCACAAGGTCCTTAATACAGTCTTCATCACTTTAGTAAATACATGGAATACATTAGCTGGGGGTGGGGTGGGGGGGGGGGTAGGGGGGATGGGGAGGGGGGTAGGGGGATGGAGAGGGGGATAGGGTAGGGGGGTCAACAAAGACAAAGCAAGGACATGCACACAGACCGCCTCAAGTTGCTCGTATGTATAATCTCTTAAGTTAGAGAAGTTGGTAACTTGTAAGCGTGTCGCGTTTTCGTTTTTAGGAAGTGTATTTTTTGGGGGGACTGGGTTAAAGTCTGGTCTTGTATGTTATATCTAAGGGTTTGTAGTTTAATTGTATTATTTTATGCATATTTTGTTATAATTAGTTTTTGTAGTATTTGTGATTAATTAATACTAAAATTTGTGTTAATATCTCTATCACTGTAACCTCTCTCCCTCACTATAACCCTCCCTCCCTCCCTCACTGTAACCCTGCTCCCTCACTGTAACCCTCCCTCCGTCACTGTAACCCTCCCCCCTGGCCACATGAGACACAGTGCCGTCAGTTGAACAGTGCCACAGCCTGCAGGGGCTGCATGTTGAGTGTTCGCATGTGGTGTATGTCGTATGTGGTCGTGTTGGCATGTGGTGTATGTCGTATGTGGTCGTGTTGGCATGTGGTGTATGTCGTATGTGGTCATGTTGGCATGTGGTGTATGTCGTATGTGGTCATGTTGGCATGTGGTGTATGTCGTATGTGGTCATGTTGGCATGTGGTGTATGTCGTATGTGGTCGTGTTGGCATGTGGTGTATGTCGTATGTGGTCATGTTGGCATGTGGTGTATGTCGTATGTGGTCATGTTGGCATGTGGTGTATGTCGTATGTGGTCGTGTTGGCATGTGGTGTATGTCGTATGTGGTCGTGTTGGCATGTGGTGTATGTCGTATGTGGTGTATGTCGTATGTGGTCGTGTTGGCATGTGGTGTATGTCGTATGTGGTCGTGTTGGCATGTGGTGTATGTCGTATGTGGTCGTGTTGGCATGTGGTGTATGTCGTATGTGGTCGTGTTGGCATGTGGTGTATGTCGTATGTGGTCGTGTTGGCATGTGGTGTATGTCGTATGTGGTCGTGTTGGCATGTGGTGTATGTCGTATGTGGTCGTGTTGGCATGTGGTGTATGTCGTATGTGGTCGTGTTGGCATGTGGTGTATGTCGTATGTGGTCGTGTTGGCATGTGGTGTATGTCGTATGTGGTCGTGTTGGCATGTGGTGTATGTCGTATGTGGTCGCAAATGTATAAATTGTTTCGTTGTGCTGTAAATCGTTATGCAAATTGAGACACAATGTCGTGTTGGGGAGAAAATGTCGTTATTCTGGCGGTGGATGTCTTGACGCTTGTGGTGGTGGTATGTTGGGGGATGTGGGGGTTGTCTTATGCTGTGTGGTGGTATGTTGGGGTATGTGGGGGTTGTCTCATGCTGTATGGTGGTATGTTGGGTCGTCTCGTGCTGTGTTGGGGTATGTGGGGTTGTGCCATGCTGTGTGGTGGTATGTGGGGGTATGTGGGGGTTGTCTCAGGCTGTGTTGGGGTATGTGGGGTTGCCTCGTGCTGTGTGGTGGTATGTTGGGGGATGTGGGGGTTGCCTCATGCTGTGTGGTGGTATGTTGGGTCGTCTCATGCTGTGTTGGGGTATGTGGGGTTGTGCCATGCTGTGTGGTGGTATGTGGGGGTTGTGTCATGCTGTGTGGTGGTATGTGGGGGTATGTTATGCTGTGTGCTGGTATGTTGGGGTATGTTGGGTCGTCTCATGCTGTGTGGTGGTATGTTAGGGTATGTGGGGGTTGCCTCATGCTGTGTGGTGGTATGTAGCTTCACTACAGTGCCATGTGGAGCATGCTGTGTTAAGACCTGTGGTGTTTACAGTACCATGCGGTGCCATGCTGTGGTACTTTACAGTGCTACGGTGAGGCTATGTGGTTTTATGGAGAGTTTATGATATTTGGAGCTTGGATATGTTGGTGGGCGGCGGCGGTGGGCGGCGGCGTGGGCGGGGTCGTTCCCTCTCTGGAGACCTGTACCAATTAGCTTTGAGAATAACAGTGTCTTGAAAGGCTTAAGATCCGTTCCTCTGACTCGCTTCCCCTCACCCATCACCAGACACATTATTTCTTGCCCAATCGTTTGGGCAGGCTCCTTGAGGGCCTGCATCGGAGTGGCAGGTTTGACGGAGATTGAGATCTCTTGAGCCCACAGTGTTGCTATCTAGGCGGGGTGGCGATATACGGCCCGATAGCAGGACGATAGCACGTACGACAAAATAAATCGTATTCCGAGACTATGTAATTTGAGGTCGCTGAGGCGTTTCATTTATATCTTGCAATGGTTTCCAATCCTGCCCCAGGTGTGAACTGGAGGGGAAATTTCGTGCGCAAATATTACCGGCTCCTGTGATTTATGGCGGCGACGTAACAAGGTATTGGTTGTTGGGGGAGGTTGACGCGTTAGGGACCCTTTACCAAGAAGGTGTACTTAGTCAGGGACTTCCACCCCAATCCCAAGCCAATCACACCCAATCTGGCATGTCCAAACGCAATCTGAACACATTCACGACATTCACACACACACACACACACACACACACACACACACACACACACACACACACACACACACACACACACACACACACACCCTATTTGGAAGCTATTCTCGAAAACTGTATCATAGATGAATGCACATCTATGCATGAAAGCAGTCTTCCCCCCATAGCATAGGCCAAACTCTGGCTACTCCACTCCCCTCAACACTGTCAATGAATGAAGAACACACTATACATTCGACCCACATCTAAAAACATTCAAACATTTCTCTAGCACTGCTTCATTCCCAGCGACGAAGCTAAACATTCCCACCTGGAGAGTAGACGACAGTATTTTGAATATGTTAACCGTGTCAGTTTGTACAGAAATTCTCGTCTCCAACGACTGGGATGGTATTTAGAGCAGTCATTTGTTTATGCAAATCCTCTCTAATGCAATATACTCAGCTGGCTACACGTGTCGGTTCGTCAGAACACCCAGCTGACTACACCACGACGTGCTGGTGGTGTTGAGATACTGAAATGTGGTGACCAAACACCGTAGACTTGTATCAAGATTGAAAAATTTATTGGTTAGGAGTTACCATGTTGCTCATTGTTGGAACAGTGCTTGTTGCATCGATACGATGATTAGTGAGAATTATGGTGTATCGGGCCTCTTGGTGTACACCTGTCTGTTATCTTACACCTGTCGTGTTATCTGACACCTGTCTGTTATCTTACATCTGTCTTATCTTAATCCTACTTCCCCCTCAGCACTGAGCCGCAGTTCTTCAGCCCCACCCAAACCCCACGCAAACGCCACCCTAACGCCACCCTAACCCCACCCTAACGCCACCCTAACGCCACCCTAACGCCACCCTAACGCCACCCTAACGCCACCCTAACGCCACCCTAACCCCACACTAACGCCACCCTAACCCCACCCTAACCTCCACCCTAACGCCACCCTAACGCCACCCTAACGCCACCCTAACCCCACCCTAACCTCCACCCTAACCCCACCCTAACCCCACCCTAACCCCACCCTAACCCCACCCTAACCCCACCCTAACCCCACCCTAACCTCCACCCTAACGCCACCCTAACGCCACCCTAACCCCACCCTAACCTCCACCCTAACCTCCACCCTACCCCCACCCTAACCTCCACCCTAACCTCCACCCTAACCTCCACCCTAACCCCCCCCTAACCCCACCCTAACCCCACCCTAACCCCACCCTAACGCCACCCTAACCCCACCCTAACCCCCCACCCTAACCCCACCCTAATCCCCACTCCCGGGCAGCTCCTCGTATCGTTATGAAAGTTTATGTGGGGGATCTCGGGAGAATCAAACCGGGTATCTACAGCGCCCGAGACGTGACTTCCGTTCGAATCCTACGAGAAGGAGTAGTGGGGGTGGGAGAGGGGGTGTGGGAGGGTGTGGGAGAGGGTGTGGGAGAGGGTGGGAGGGATGGGCCGCCTCATAGCTGGGTCTGGGGAAACGGAGAGAAGCAAGAAGGGAAGATTGGAAGTGTAGGGGGACTGGATGCTGCGATTGAAGGATGCTGCCTGCCCCCAGCCCGCCCCCAGCCCCCAGCCCACCCCCAGCCCGCCCTCAGCCTGCCCCCAGCCCCCAGCCCGCCCCCAGCCCGCCCTCAGCCTGCCCCCAGCCCGCCCCCAGCCCGTCCCCAGCCGGTCCCCAGCCCTGGAATAAGGACGGCAGCATCTTCAACGTTACAGAACATGTCATTAGTGGAATGTTGCAATTATGGTGGAGCAAAGATGTTGATCCTGCTCTCATCCACACCGCCCCGGCGGCTCTCATCCACACCGCCCCGGCGGCTCTCATCCACACCGCCCCGGCGGCTCTCATCCACACTGCCCCGGCGGCTCTCATCCACACCGCCCCGGCGGCTCTCATCCACACCGCCCCGGCGGCTCTCATCCACACCGCCCCGGCGGCTCTCATCCACACCGCCCCGGCGGCTCTCATCCACACCGCCCCGGCGGCTCTCATCCACACCGCCCCGGCGGCTCTCATCCACACCGCCCCGGCGGCTCTCATCCACACCGCCCAGGCGGTCATCCACACCGCCCCGGCGGCTCTCATCCACACCGCCCCGGCGGCTCTCATCCACACCGCCCCGGCGGCTCTCATCCACACCGCCCAGGCGGTCATCCACACCGCCCCGGCGGCTCTCATCCACACCGCCCCGGCGGCTCTCATCCACACCGCCCAGGCGGCTCTCATCCACTCCGCCCAGGCTGTCATCCACACCGCCCCGGCGCCTCTCATCCACTCCGCCCAGGCTGTCATCCACACCGCCCCGGCGGCTCTCATCCACCCCGCCCCGGCGGCTCTCATCCACACCGCCCCGGCGGCTCTCATCCACTCCGCCCAGGCTGTCATCCACACCGCCCCGGCGGCTCTCATCCACACCGCCCCGGCGGCTCTCATCCACTCCGCCCAGGCTGTCATCCACACCGCCCCGGCGGCTCTCATCCACACCGCCCCGGCGGCTCTCATCCACACCGCCCCGGCTCTCATCCACACCGCCCCGGCGGCTCTCATCCACACCGCCCCGGCGGCTCTCATCCACACCGCCCCGGCGGCTCTCATCCACACCGCCCCGGCGGCTCTCATCCACACCGCCCCGGCGGCTCTCATCCACACCGCCCCGGCGGCTCTCATCCACACCGCCCCGGCTCTCATCCACACCGCCCCGGCGGCTCTCATCCACACCGCCCCGGCGGCTCTCATCCACACCGCCCCGGCGGCTCTCATCCACACCGCCCCGGCTCTCATCCACACCGCCCCGGCGGCTCTCATCCACACCGCCCCGGCGGCTCTCATCCACACCGCCCCGGCGGCTCTCATCCACACCGCCCCGGCGGCTCTCATCCACACCGCCCCGGCGGCTCTCATCCACACCGCCCCGGCTCTCATCCACACCGCCCCGGCGGCTCTCATCCACACCGCCCCGGCTCTCATCCACACCGCCCCGGCGGCTCTCATCCACACCGCCCCGGCGGCTCTCATCCACACCGCCCCGGCTGTCATCCACACCGCCCCGGCGGTCATCCACACCGCCCCGGCGGTCATCCACACCTCCCCGGCGGTCATCCACACCGCCCCGGCTCTCATCCACACCGCCCCGGCGGCTCTCATCCACACCGCCCCGGCGGCTCTCATCCACACCGCCCCGGCGGCTCTCATCCACACCGCCCCGGCGGCTCTCATCCACACCGCCCCGGCGGCTCTCATCCACACCGCCCCGGCTCTCATCCACACCGCCCCGGCGGCTCTCATCCACACCGCCTAGGCTGTCATCCACACCGCCCCAGGCTGTCATCCACACCCTTTTGAAGGGTGTTGGGTGGGCGGGATGGGAGGCTGATGAGTCTGAAATACACCCACGCCCGCCCATCGTCAATAGGTCTCGCGAGCACAAATGATATTGCGGAAAATGTACAAAAATGGTTATTGTGAGGCCATGTAAAATTAGGCCGGTGAGTTACGAGGCCCAAGATGGCGGTTTGCTGGCCACATTCCCGCCAAATGTCTCTTAAAATCTTACCTTTATGGCGCCATGTTGCTGCTTGGTGGTGGGCCACACCCACTGGCGGTGGGCCACACCCACTGGTGGTGGGCCACACCCACTGGTGGTGGGCCACACCCACTGGTGGTGGGCCACACCCACTGGCGGTGGGCCACACCCACTGGCGGTGGGGCACACCCACTGGCGGTGGGCCACACCCACTGGCGGTGGGGCACACCCACTGGCGGTGGGCCACACCCACTGGTAGCGGTGGTGGGGGTGGTGGGGTCAGCAGGATATCATCAACCTCACAACTTACTGTTGATTGCACAATCGTATTCACAACTTCATTAAGACTGAGAGATCTCTTGCTGGGTGCTGTCGTTGTGGCAATATATTTGGGACGTTATTAATAACGAAGTCGACGTTGATGAGGTCCCTGATGAGCACTGAGATGCTCTCATTGGTCTGATGACTTCCGGTGTACAACGGTAGTTAAGCCAGCATCATTAGCACCATCTTAACTACTCATATATAACAACCCCAGGCAATTAAGACTGAGCCTATCATATAGAGAATACCTCAGTTATCTCAACCCTTAAATCATTTTTCTAATGTAGTTGACAGTATGTTTAATCAGTAAGTCTTTGATGTGTTGAACAGCTGCGATGGATTTGTGTGGTTCTTCGTATTAATCTATAACTAGAAAGGGAATGTCCGGTTGGCTGTCTGATAGGGATTAGTGGACAGATGGTGTCCAGGACGGCGAACATGCATGCATCAGAGGCCAGACGGGGTCGGCCCTAGTGCCACGCTTTGCGAAACATCGGCACCTACAGCGACCCCCTCTCAGAGTTTCACCAAGTATTTTTAAACTAGAAGTTGTGTTTTTTATATAGCTGTTTATAAAACAAATTCCAGTTATCATACTTTGACTGTATTAGTCTATATTATATGATCCTGATGCCATTAAACTGGGTCACCCCAATCACACAGCCTACGGACTGACACTGAGAGGGAGAGACAAAGAGAATTTGAGATAGAGATAATCAGATAGAGACAGAGACACACAGAGATAAACATACAGAGAGGTAGAGGGTGGAGGTAGGATACCATTCCTCGATGTTCCTGTGGATGGTAATTCTCATTGCTTCATCACAGACGTGTACAATCAATGAGCAGCCAGAGTGAATACACTCACAGGTCTAAGAAAAGTGTGAGTGTGCAAGTGAGTGATGCAGCGTGCGCCTGCTCGGCATGGAAGCTCATACACCGTGAACTTTACCGTAACTGACAAGTTACTGTGAATAACTATTACACCAATACGGATTTCGACGAAATCGTAAGTAGGAAGCTAAGTCGCCCCTTGGCTTAGGACAGCCAGGCCCCAGAGGAGGGTAATCGTCCCCCAAGGGAAGATACTCTAGTGTAAATTGTCAACTACACTATCATACAAGCAAACATTCCTAGTGCCCAAGTGAATTCAATATTATAATGTGTAATAATAATACATTTACTCAGGCCTTTAAAAAGGATGAAAAAGGGGGAATGGTCTGGTGTATGGGATGAACATAGGCTGGTATATGTTACCAGAGTTCAAAAGGGGAACTGCACGCTCTGTGATGGTTGTAGGGGTAGTGTTGGCGGGTGTGGTAGTGTTGGAGGGCGTGATAGTGTTGGAGGGTGTGGTACTGGTAGTGGGGGGAGGTGGGAGAGGATCCCACTCTCCCACAACAATACACAGACTTGTTTCATCCCCCCAGACATAATAGATTTTCCGGGAGATCAAATACCTGTGAGCCTTTGTGTAGTGTGGGACCCGGCGAATGTTTACATTATCGCTTGTCTGATTGGCAATACTGCCAGTAATAACGCTAGGGGGGGAGGGGCCCCCTATTAGGGCCCCCCTACCACCCTCAACTCTACATACTAGGGGGGAGGGGGAGGGAGGGCCCCACACCCCCCAAACGTACATACCTACACGCTCAAAACCGGTTTGATAGAAACATTGACTATATTAATTTTCATTTTTTTAATGTTTTTGGTAATGAGAAATTGATAGAACACAGAGGAGGTTTGTAATGGTTGTGTCCCTGGCTGTTTGGGTCGTTGGTATCCCACATATTGTGGGTGACCTGCCACTACCACATATACCACACCTGCCACCACCACATATACCACACCTGCCTCTCCCACATATACCACACCTGCCACCACCACATATACCACACCTGCCTCTCCCACATATACCACACCTGCCTCCACCACATATACCACACCTGCCGCCACCACATACACCACACCTGCCACCACCACATATACCACACCTGCCTCTCCCACATATACCACACCTGCCTCCACCACATATACCACACCTGCCACCACCACATATACCACACCTGCCTCTCCCACATATACCACACCTGCCTCCACCACATATACCACACCTGCCACCACCACATATACCACACCTGCCTCCACCACATATACCACACCTGCCTCCACCACATATACCACACCTGCCTCTCCCACATATACCACACCTGCCACCACCACATATACCACACCTGCCTCTCCCACATATACCACACCTGCCTCCACCACATATACCACACCTGCCTCCACCACATATACCACACCTGCCTCTCCCACATATACCACACCTGCCACCACCACATATACCACACCTGCCTCCACCACATATACCACACCTGCCTCCACCACATATACCACACCTGCCTCTCCCACATATACCACACCTGCCACCACCACATATACCACACCTGCCTCTCCCACATATACCACACCTGCCTCCACCACATATACCACACCTGCCACCACCACATATACCACACCTGCCTCTCCCACATATACCACACCTGCCTCCACCACATATACCACACCTGCCACCACCACATATACCACACCTGCCTCCACCACATATACCACACCTGCCGCCACCACATACACCACACCTGCCGCCACCACATACACCACACCTGCCTCCACCACATATACCACACCTGCCTCTCCCACATATACCACACCTGCCTCCACCACATATACCACACCTGCCACCACCACATATACCACACCTGCCACCACCACATATACCACACCTGCCACCACCACATATACCACACCTGCCTCCACCACATATACCACACCTGCCTCCACCACATATACCACACCTGCCTCCACCACATACACCACACCTGCCGCCACCACATACACCACACCTGCCTCCACCACATATACCACACCTGCCACCACCACATATACCACACCTGCCTCCACCACATATACCACACCTGCCACCACCACATATACCACACCTGCCTCTCCCACATATACCACACCTGCCACCACCACATATACCACACCTGCCACCACCACATATACCACACCTGCCACCACCACATATACCACACCTGCCTCCACCATATATACCACACCTGCCACCACCACATATACCACACCTGCCTCTCCCACATATACCACACCTGCCACCACCACATATACCACACCTGCCTCTCCCACATATACCACACCTGCCACCACCACATATACCACACCTGCCACCACCACATATACCACACCTGCCACCACCACATATACCACACCTGCCACCACCACATATACCACACCTGCCACCACCACATATACCACACCTGCCTCCACCACATATACCACACCTGCCACCACCACATATACCACACCTGCCTCTCCCACATATACCACACCTGGCACCACCACATATACCACACCTGCCTCCACCACATATACCACACCTGCCACCACCACATATACCACACCTGCCTCTCCCACATATACCACACCTGGCACCACCACATATACCACACCTGCCACCACCACATATACCACACCTGCCTCTCCCACATATACCACACCTGGCACCACCGGTTATATTATATGTTCGTTATATTTCGTCGTCTGGACCACACCACTGTCCCCCCCCCCCCCATCCCACCCACAGTCTGGCCTCTTACGCCCACCCCCGCCCACACCTCCACCCTCACCATCCCATCCCACCTCAAGTGCCCCCCCCCCCACCCCCCACCCCCCCCCCACCCCCCACCCCCCCACCCACCAACGTGTCCCAAGAGAGGCAATAAAATGCTTCTAGCTCGGCCCTCCCCAAACAGCGCTACCAACCCTGAAACACACACACACACACACACACACACACACACACACACACACACACACACACACACACACACACACACACACACACACACAGCCTACACTCCTCTCTAATATATATATATATATATATATATATATATATATATATATATATATATATATATATATATATATATATATGTCGTACCTAGTAGCCAGAACTCACTTCTCAGCCTACTATTCAAGGCCGATTTGCCTAATAAGCCAAGTTTTCCTGAATTAATATATTTACTATATTTTTTTTCTTATGAAATGATAAAGCAACCCTTTTCTCTATGTATGAGGTAATTTTTTTTTATTGGAGTTAAAATTAACGTAGATATATGACCGAACCTAACCAACCCTACCTAACCTAACCTAACCTATATTTATAGGTAAGGTTAGGTTAGGTAGCCAAAAAAAGCTAGGTTAGGTTAGGTTAGGTAGGTTAGGTAGACGAAAAAACATTAATTCATGAAAACTTGGCTTATTTGGCAAATCGGGCCTTGAATAGTAGGCTGAGAAGTGCGTTCTGGCTATTAGGTACGACATATATATATATATATATATATATATGCGAACAAGCCTGAATGGTC